AGGCTACAATTACACTAATTCCCAAGCTAGAAAAAAAACAAAAACAAAGCCTGTGGTAGTAACTGCCCAATTTCCTCAATCAATGCTGATGTGAAACTATTTGCTAAAATGTTAATAGTCCATTGGAGGCCATTACTTACAGGGCTGCTCAAGCCTGATCAAGCTGGCTTTGTCCCCACTCGAGAAGCCAATATTACTAAAATTATAGAACTCCCATATTGGGCACAAAGCACATGAAAGCCTTTTATCTTGCTAGCTATTGATGCACAGAATACTTTTGACAGGGTGGACTGGCCTTTTCTTATATCAATGGAGACAATAGGTTTTGGACCCAGATGGATTAATCAGTTTAGAACTATTTATTCTATCTTAACCACAAAAATTAACGTCAATGGCCAATTATGTAAACCCCTGCCCATTAATAATGGAACGCATCAAGGGTGTTCATATTGGTCTTAGAATCATTTCTACAAGCAGGATAAACAAAGACATTGAGGATATGAGGGTAGACAAACAGGAATTTAAGATATCCACCTTTGTGAATGATTTGCTATTCACATAAATCCCTCTAAGACTCTCCCCTCATTCTGACTGAAATGCAGACCTACAGTTCATTTTAAAATTAAATGGATCCTATAGTGCTAGGAAAACAAGCTGTTTTCCTGGCACTATAGGTTTAATAGATTCCCCTCCTCCCTCGCGCCCCTCTTCCGTGGGGCTGAAGGGGTTAAAAATCCTTCAGCCACTTACCTGAATTCAGCGCCGATGTTCCTCAGTGGTGGATCAGGCTCCACCCATGCTCCACCCATGCTCCTCACCCGCCAACATCAGCTGGCGGGAGAAACCTAATGCACATGGACGGCAATGGATATTTTTTTAATATATTTTTTATTGATTTTCATTCAATACAAAAAACACATTAAATAGACAAATGGAAACAACTCATAAAATTGTACATATGCAGAAAAAGGATTGAATTCCATATATGTTGCCAGCCGACAAATATTCTAATATACAAAACATCTGTCAAGAAGGCTATCTCAAGTTTAAAATATTACTGTATTACTATTTAGTTTCTCTTTTCTTTCCCTTTTTCTTTTTTTTTCATCCTTTCATTTTCTTTTCTCCTCCTTTCTCTCTTCCTTTTCTCTTCCTTCTTTTTCCTTTTTATTAAATATTGCATATATCAAAAACAAGAAAAAAAAATACAAGATACTGTTGGGGATAAAATCAGCCCAGGCCCTTTGTGGATGATCGATATTTGCCAACTCATTCAGAGCTTTGGAAATTGGAAATGAATAGCAGAGATGTGTTCAATAACCAATTCAAATTTTATTATACGTCAGTTATATTCAGTGGCGTCTCTAGGATTCATTTTTAGGGGGGCACATGGAGGGCCAGGGACAAAAGTAGGGGGGCACATTTAACCTCGCCCTCACCGCAGTTTGCCCCGCCACTGTTGCATGTTAAGCCCCGCCCCCGAC